CTACGAGGCACCCACAGGTGACAGCTCCACATGGGCGCTACTTACTGCTGCACTTAGAACGCCGTCAGGGGAGAAGTAGCCATAGCCACTTAGTCTGAAGAAAGGACAGTGTCTGGGTAATTTTTCATTTGGATCTGAGCTGATTTTTTTTTTTTGGAACCATGTAGATAATGAGTGATGGGATCCTTGAGTGACTGTAATGTCCAGGTAGCCGGGTATGATAGGATGAAAGATGTGTAAGAAACGTGTGTCCCCTTTGTGAGTTCTGCCAGGAGCATTTCAGTGCACTTCTGAAACGTGCCCCTTTAATTAAAATGAGATGCTGGCTTCAGGTAGCTCTAAATTCACAGATTTTCTCCCCCCAAAGAAAACAGTTTTCTAAGCTGGGTGATACCATGTAGGTTTTTACTGAGTGATTGGGTGGTGAGAGGTAAAGTTCTCGGGTGGGACACTGAGAAGGCCTGTGGCATCTGGACCATGGAGATTGGAAAGAGATGAGGCAGCCATTTGCCCGGGGAATCACCTGCCTCAAGAGAGGGACCCAGGCTGCGCGTTAGTGACACTGAAACGTGTCAGTTTCTCAAGCTGGTTGACATTGTTCGTGCACTCATGTGCTTTATTGTGAATTGACAAGTGAGTCACTGGTCACCTTATCATGAGGTCTCTGTGGATTTCTGTTTGACTTCACTGGGCGGGGGCTGGCCATTGCCCTTTCTGAAATGCCGTTCGCTTGCAGATCGACTACCACTACATCTCCTCCCAGGGCTTCCCCATGGAAGGCTGGGCTGTCGTGTACTACATCACGCACCTGTAAGTATGCGGGTGACTCGTGACGTACTCATACCGGGACGGGACATATCAGGTGTTGGGGAAGCCATGTCAGGAAGAGACCTGACTCAGGTTGATGGCCCGCCCTCCTGTACAGCCTGGCTGGGTTCCTGCCATGCCAAAGGTGTGTGGTGGACGGGTAGTTGTCCACACTTGAGAACTCGGGGCTGTTGCGTGCCCCTGGGCGGGGGCTGCCTCCTTGTGGGGACTGGCTGCTCAGGTGATGGGCTGCATAGCTAACTATTTGTGTGCGGAAGACTTGCTCACTTAAGACGAACTTCCTGGATTTGGCTACCTGTCTTTTGCAAGAAGCACGTGAAATCATAGCATGAGCTGTGGAATCTAACTTGCAGGTGGGACTCCAAAGAGACCCATTTGTGTCTGTGACATTTTTCTTTTTCAGTTTGAAAGGGGCCCTGCTGTTCATCACCATCGCGCTCATTGGCACTGGCTGGGCTTTCATCAAGCACATCCTTTCCGATAAAGACAAAAAGATCTTCATGATTGTCATCCCTCTCCAGGTGAGGGACGCTCCTCCGCCGTGCTGCTCTGTCCCCCACTGAGCCGCTCCAGGCCTGTCTGGGAGCGGGGGTGGCCCACACAGAAACGCCAGCTTCTCCATGGGGGGTTCTGTTTCTGAATGTGGACAGGCCTAGGCCTCAGGCCACGGCACTGAGATGTTTGACCGTCAGTCATCTTTAACCGGCACATGGACACCTGTCCTTCAGTAGAGGGCTGCTGAAAAGTTAGGGGACCTGCTGGCTTCTCTTCCTCACCTGTGTGTCCTGTAAGCAAATGGGCCTCTTAGCAGAGGAACTCAGTACATAGCGATTTTGTTAAATTATTTTAAAATTCTGAATGACACCAGTGAGTTCCCACAAGGTAGATGTTGGCACACATTTCTTAGAGCCTCCCTGTGCTGGGGGCCTCACCAGTGAGCCCGCAGGAGAGGAGCCTAGGAGCAGAGCCGGGCGGAAAGGGCCCGAGTAAACAGCGGTCCTAGCAGCGATGCACAGCCACTCTGCTCGGCCGAAGTGCGCCTGCTCGATAAGGTTGTTCTCGTCACCCGGACTCATCTTGGAGCACACTGCCGATGTGGCAGGTGAGGGGAGGAAGAGGCCAGCCCGCTCAGCTCCGGCAACAAAGCCACTTCGCGTCAATAATAAGGGATACACGTTACCGCCAAACCAATGGTACACACCAGTTACTGAAGGGTTCCAAGGGAAGACTGGTCATCCAGCCTCTGATGACCTGGGAGGCTTTATGTGTGGATGGGCCTTGCCTCGATGCTTAAGGAAAGAAAGATGACAAAGATGACAGAGGCCCAGGGGGAGTGGCAGCAGTATGAGGTGCTGTCCAGTGGACAGAGGTGCTGAGCTACCCAGGTCTTGGCTGATGAGCCGCCAGGGTCTAGAGCTCGTGAGTGACGAGCCCGGGCCTCTGCCCACTCTGCCACACCGCTCCCTGAGCCCCTTTTCCTCTTGTGGCCGCTCCCTCCCCTTCAGTGTGAACTTCCTCCCGGCCTAACTGTGCGGTGACAGGGCTCAGTCCTCCCCACTGCCCCCCATTTGTTCGTCCGGAGGAGCAGCACACAGGGTTATGTGGCAGGTCACTCGAAGAAATGGCATTTAACAAGTAACTGTAAATTTCAACATGGAGACTAGCCTAGGAAGGCCTTGAACAGCAGCCTGAAAAGTTAAAACTGCTTCTTTCTGGCCATGGGAGCCACTGCACATTTCTGTGTAAGAAGTGAGTGCTGCACAGAATGGCGTTTCAAGAACGTTATTGCCCGTTGCTGCACATGCACCTCGGGGACTGGAAGCCGAGGACACGTGCAGTTAGGAGTTCAGGCTGTGGAAGCCTGTTCTCCACTCTGTCTTCGCAGACGGAGCCTCAGAGACAGGCGCGAGGATAGACTGGGCTTCGGGAGGAGCCCGACGCTGCGTGTCAGTGGGAGACTGGCATTTCAGAATCACTTTTGCGTTAGTATCCAGTGGTGTATGCTTCCGTGGTGATTGAGCTGCGTAAGTCCTCGACAGAGAGAGAAACTGCACTTGGAGACTTCCCAATATAGCGCAGCGGATTGTGCCTTTTTGTTAAAGTGGAACATGACGGTTGCAAACAGCACGGTCAGGCCGAGGATTGGGAGCACGGCCTCGTGGGAGGTGGGGGTGGGATTAGACGCTGCATCCACACCTAGCAGTGGTCTGTGAAAGAACATCTCCTAGGCTGTCCCCCGTGTGCCGAGTAGCACCGCAGGTTTCCAGGTGTTGCCGGCTCAGTTTAGGCAGCTGCAGGACTTCTCAGAGCACGCAGAGAGCTTAACAACAGACTGAACACACGAGACAGAGCCCTGACTGGGGATGGAGGTAGAGCACGGGCGCAGCTGGACCTCCGTGGGAAGCACAGCTGGTCCCGTGAACAGAGGACCTGGACTGGAGTTACTCCTGGGAGGGCGATGTGGCTCCTCAACCAGTGGCTGAAGTCCGCCACTCTTGCCGCTCTGGTCTCTGATGACATCATCTGGCACTTAGCAGAGGTACTGTCACTGAGGAGCCTGGGCATGTGGCTGAACAGGAAGTGAAGTGCAGCGCCTGGTGACTGCGAGGTCTAGGGTGCTTGAAAAACCATGCGGCCTGGGTAGCCGCTGCTGTACAACAGCCCCCATTCAGTCTCCGTTCTCTGTGGCTCGGGAGTTGGGAGAGGCTTAGCTGGGTAGGTCTGACTTGCTGTCCCAGCAGTTAGAGCAGACAGAGGCCAGGGCTGGGCCCCCTGGAAGTCTCCACTTGCCTCCTTCTGGGCTGGAGAGACTTGATCACATGGGGCGGGGGCTCCTGGGCTCTTTCTCTCTCGCCTGGTCTCTTCAACATGGCAGCTCCAGGCAGGCGGACTTATTACAGGAAGGCCCTGGGCTGCACAGGTGTCTCTCTAGAGAGCCAGGCAGAAGCTGTGTCCTTTGACCTACCTGGGACATCACCTGGCGTCACTCCACCTTCCTCAGTTGGCCAGAGCAGTCACAAGCTCAGGAGCGAGCAGAGACAGCGTCTTGGGGGGAGAGAGCACGTGGGAGTGCTGCTGTGGCCATAGGTTGGGGGCCTCCTGGCCCCACTGTCCCCCTCCCTCCCTTGTTGGGGCTGCTGTTGTGAGAATCTACCTGTGTTCTGGGGCCTCACTGACTTCTCTGCCCTGTAGGTCCTGGCAAACGTGGCCTACATCATCATAGAATCCACTGAGGAGGGGACCACGGAGTATGCCTTGTGGAAGGATTCTCTGTTTCTGGTGGACCTGCTGTGCTGTGGGGCCATCCTCTTCCCAGTGGTGTGGTGAGTACCCACAGGGAGGGAGGCTGTGTGCACCCCATGAGGCTTGTCTGTCAAACCCGGCAGCTGGGCCAGCCATTCCCACACTGGGAATCACGCGGGGCATCTGTGTAAAACACACAGCTTTCTGGGTCCCAGACCATCTGAATTATCTCAGGACCCTGGCTTTTGTGTCCTGTCAGGTTCCCCAGGGGATCCTGATGGAGCTAGTCTGGCAGCCTGGCTGGTTTGTAGCGCAGGCTGGCAATAGAGAGTCTGGAAAGGAGAGCTTAGCAGCAATGTAAATAGCATGGATTTGGAAGGAAAGGAGTTGAAGAAAGTCCATAAATAAGCTCTTCTTGCCAAGGTAGATGGGAAAAAGGGAAGTACATTAACATAAAACTAGTGCTAGTGCCCAGCCCAGGTGGCTTAGTGGTTAAGGGTTGACTCGTAAACCAGGAGCAGCAGGTTCCAGGGGCACATGCCTGCACGCCCCCTACTGGGTATCAAGCCAGTTGCGGGCTCCATCCCGTAGGGGGCGTGCAAGAGGCAGCGATCAATGATTCTCTCTCACCATTGATGTTTCTACCCCCTCTCCCTTCCTCTCTGAATCAATAAAAACATTTTTTTAAAAAAAACCTAGTGCTAGTTCTGAGCATGTAAACATTTTAGACATCCTCCAGAACGGTGGCTTTCCTCCTGGAAATGGCAGGCGTTGGATGCAGAGCTTGTAAAGAAGTGTCAGGCCAAGTCAGCGCTTGATGAGAAAATGTCCTCATTAAGCCTCATGCAAACTGAAGGCAGTTCTTGGTCCACTGGGAAGCAAGTAGAGGGAAAAGGCTAGCAAAAATAATGATCCAGCTCCGTGCTCCTTGAAAGCAATGAATTATTTTGGAATAAACTTTAAAAACAGTAGATTTCCTGCTTCCTATTAGAGGTGAGGTGTTCCATACTGCAATGCCCCATGCACTTAAGTTAATATTTTTTAGGATCCTGGGTTTATAGGTCATTTACTTATTCTGATTATTTAGGACATGGTGTCAGTGGAGTGTAGTCCTCATTCCAGGCAATTAGATTCACTCTTAATTGGTTCAGGAGCAAGCACAGAGACGACATCTTGGTGGGAGAGAGCACGTGGGAGTACTTAACCCTCATTCCGTATATCACGCGTGTACAGGTAATAATTCAGAGAAGAGAATTCGAATGAGCTATTTTATCTCTGCAGCCTCCTCACATCTAGCCCAGGAATAAGTTAACTCAGGTGTCTGTGACAAGATGGCCAGCATTGTCTTCAGGCAGGAAGTGTCCTGGGAGCATTTGAGATCATGTCCCCCAGTGTATATCATCAGTGAAACACAAACATTTCAAAAGAAAGAAAGAGCAGCCTGTTGCTCAGGATCAGAGTAAGACTACTCACACCTGCCACTCAGCAAAGTAGAAGGGTCAGGGGCGCACGAGGAGACCCAGACACGCTGTAGAGGCACAAAGGACCACTGCCTGCCACTTGGTCCTTACAGCACTGACAGGCAGATGCCGCAGGCAAGCTTCTGTCAGGTAAATATTCTGAAAAGCTGTACAAGAGAAAAGTCAAGTACCAGAGAGGAGATTTAAGAAGCAGCCACATTTGGACATGAAGTGCAAAGTGTTTGGAAAGGTTATGGATGGTCTGGAGGCTCTAGATCAAGCATGTCAAACTCAAAGGCTAACATGGGCCAAATAAGCCAGGTTTAAGGTTATGTGGGCCGCAAAAAGACCAAAGCTTCAATTTTCATAGAAACATAGGTTTATTTCGATAGAGACATGCTAAATACAAAGGGCTGAAATAAATAATTGTTAACATAAAATAATAGAACATTTTAATAAAAATTAATACTTTTTCTTGAACATTAACTTACCAGACACTGAATAACTGCACAAATTAATAAGCGAAACGCAAATAAACCTATTTTTCTTTTTCTCCGAAAGCGAAATATTTCCTGTTGTGCACAGCAAACAAGTCAGCACAAGACTAATGACATGGCAATGGGCTAAAATATTTGCTGCTAGTATTAGTGGAGAGAAATAGTGCGCCTGCGCATAAGGCACATAAGGGAAATGAATGCAACACGATACTGTGAAAATTAAGTTACAAAATTTTTATTAAAACATTTCTTACATACCATACGTTGGCTGGGCCGCAAAAATATTCCTTGTGGGCCCAGAGTTTGACATACTTGCTCTAGATCAATTGAAGACATTACCAATAAATGAGATGTATTGATCTCTTAATGCCTCATTATTCCTTGTTTAAATAAACGAGGCATGTGGCCTGCTGGCCACAAGTTTGACATGCTTGATGTACACATTAAGGGTTCGTGCCAACCCATTTGCTCAGTAGCTGTAACAGACATGGACAGCTACTTGGCAAACTATTTGAGGAACACACCTGTTGTGGTTTACTCACTTTTAATTATGTCAGAGGTTGCATCATCCTGCTTGATCATAACTAAGATCTCCTGAGCTGGTGGTTCCACTGGGAACCAAATGGTTCTTACTCCCATTCTTACACCATATCCTTTACCATAATTAATGTCTAATGTATTTGCTTAAGTTTAATTTTTGTTACATAAAAACATTCATTTTTAACCGAAACCGGTTTGGCTCAGTGGATAGAGCGTCGGCCTGCGGACTGAAAGGTCCCAGGTTCGATTCCGGTCAAGGGCATGTACCTGGGTTGTGGGCATATCCCCAGTAGGAGATGTGCAGGAGGCAGCTGATCGATGTTTCTCTCTCATCGATGTTTCTAACTCTCTATCTCTCTCCCTTCCTCTCTGTAAAAAATCAATAAAATATATTTAAAAAAACAAAACATTCATTTTTAAATGCTGAGTCTCAAATCAGTCATTTTTGAGCATCCTAGTTATAAATTCCTACTATATCTAAAAAACACACAAAACATTCCAATCCAGCAGCATTGGTTTGATGTCACCTTTGTGCTACTTACTTTCAGTTGTTGCTCCATTCAGTTCTAACAAGTGGGCAGACCATGGGGGTTTTAGGAGAAGTAATTTATTCACAGTCAAGTGGAGAGTGGTGGACTCCAGCCGGGTCTGACCGTCTTCCCCCTGGCCCATAGCTGCCTGTGTTGTGCTCATCCTTAAGACGGTCTTTCCCTGGGTGAACTCTACCTAGAACTCTGATCTGCAGTTTCTTTAATCATATTAATGTTCTCCTGCCAAAACTGTAATGACGGTCATTAGTTACCAGCACATCCCAGCCGGAAAAGAGACTCCCTGGAGGCCTGCATTTTTCAGCCAAGTTACAAATCTCTAGTCAGTGAAAGACTGAGTTTGTATGAAGCCATGTGCACAGCTCCTAGACCTAGACTTTCAAACCCATTCTCTCCAGGGAGCAGGTGAGATCCATGATGCTCCATTGTCTTAGTGGGGGATGGGGGTTGGGGGGTAGTCGTAGGAATGAGATTAGAGAGATCAGGAATGTTTGTCTCCTCATGCCCAGGCCTCTGCCAGACAGTTTTTGGTCAGCAGGGCATCTGTACCTTAGGCTTATGCACCATACATGCTGAAGTGATGATCGAGGATCACGTGGTTAGAGAGAGTCTAAAATCGTCCAGTTTAACCCTTTGAATTTATAATTGAGGATTTCAAGGCCTTAAGTTACTGGCCCTGGAAGTAGAGAGGAGTGCAGATTTGTTAGCTAACCTTTTGTTCCCCAAATGTTTGTTTTTAGGTCCATCAGGCATTTACAAGAAGCATCGGCAACAGATGGAAAAGGCAAGTTCCCTGGAGCTCTCTTCCGGCTGCTCAGCCTTCCCCAAAGCCATGCGCCTGGGCACTGCTGGGAGGTGGAGGAGGAAGGGTGTGTCTCTGGGCTGTCTCCCCAGGAGCAGAATGGGGGCGCCCACTTGGGGAGCTTGGGGGCTTTGTAAGAGCCGCCGAAGGATGTTTGGTGAAGACGACACAGATGGCGCACAATGCAGAGCCCTGCTGTGTGAGGAGGCTTGGGGGTGACCGCTGCTTATTATAAGCTGGTTCATGTCATTTCCGCTCATGAGCGTGATTTCCACCTTCTCAAAACTGAGTCAGAAAGAGGAATCTTGTCTTGGAAGGAGCAGGCAGCCCTTCACTGTGAGAGCGGTGGTTTATGGATGGGATGGCTCTGTGTAGAGCATCCATCCCTGCTGGTTTAACACGCTTCCAAAGTGGACGTGTTGGTATTAATGTAAAGTGAGCCTGCTGCCGGAAAGAGCCTTGAAACTCTGCTTTTTAAATGGTTGTGCCATTAAGGCCCTTTTGTGTCTCCTTGATTTTCCAACCACGCCTGCTACGTCAGAGAAGCCACAGAGAAAATGTCTTGTGTGTTCCGGGGCTTATTGGAATAATGTCCACGACTGCAGGCCGTCCGGTGTTGGGGGTGGGGGTTGGGAGCACTGCTCTCAGAGGTGGGAGCCGCCTCTGGGTCCATGAGATCACCACTCAGCGCTGATAGTGATGTTCTTTTTTTTTTTTTTAAATTTTATATTTGTTGCCAAGTGGTGTGTTTTTTTTTTTTTTGTTTTTTTTTTTAGGATCTTATACCTTTTCTTTCCTAGTTTTTTTTTAAAAAAATACTTATTGATTTCAGAGAGGGATAGACAGATAGAAACATCAATGATGAGAGAGAATCATTGATCGGCTGCCTTCTGCACGCCCCCTACTGGGGATCGAGCCCACAACCCAGGCATGTTGCCCTTGGCTGGAATTGAACCTGGGACCCTTCAGTCCCAGGCCAACGCTCTATCCACTGAGCCAAACCGGCTAGGGCTGATAGTGATGTTCTTTAAGGCAGATTATTCATTTGTTGTTAAATGTAAGTTTTGTTGCTGCTCTGTTTTCTGATTATAAAAGTAATGTGGATTCCATTTAGGAAATGTGGAAAATAGATAGTAGGTACCAATCTTATTTCACATTTGCTATTCAATTAATGTCAGGTCATTTCTTAAAAGTGAATTAAACCTGATTAAGGCTTTACACCAGTGTTGGGCAAGATTCTGGGGTTCTTAGGGCACAGCATTCGGGAGTATTCCTGATTTGGCCGAAATAGCTTCTGTTGCGATTCCTGCTCTCTGGCCCGTGTAACGCTCTTGCTCAGCACAGCCTGCTGTGTGAGGGTCCTGCCTAGACTGGGAGCCCTGGGCAGTGCTCAGAGCCCCTCTCCCAAGGCCTACCCCACAAGTCTTCTGCTTCTATCGTGCTGCGGAGCCTTCCTCCAAGCCATGGAACTCCCAGAGCCATCCTGCCTCCTGGGAAGGGGGTAGAGGAAAATTGCAAAAAATAAAAAATAAATTAGAATTTAAGTAAAGCACCTTACAAACAGAAAGCAGAAAAATCCAAAGCAGAAAATAAGAACCCACCTTCTGGGTATAATTATAGTTTGGAGCTATTCTTGTTTTTTGTTTTTTCTTCTTCAATGCACATTATAAGTTGCTTTTATCATTTTTGTAACTTAATGAATAGGTCTTTCTCTTAATTTATTATATTGACATGAGACATTTTATTTGTCATCTCTACACTTCAATATTTTGGACTTGTTTTTTGACTGTTTCGCTGGTCAGCTGAAAATGTTTGAGAATCCCAAGGGCAATGTTTTTTGGTTGATAAATTTAATCTGTGCTTTTTTTCTTGGCTTCACCCTTCCCCCCCCTTCATTCTTCCTCACCTCCATCATTCTGGCCCCTCTGTCTCTGCCTTCCCCACCTTGCGTTTAGAAGGCGTGGGAATAACTGTCTCTGTGGCCGTTTATTCCGTGAGAGGTTGGTCATTGGCTGAAGACTTACTAAGCTCTGGCGGGGTAGATAGCACAGCAGGTGAAGCCCAGGATGGGTCTTACTTGTCCCCCAGCAGCTGTAGTAAAGAGAAAGGAAAGCTTTTGCCCTCACCTGGGGCACATGAGGCAGTTCCTCATTTGTTCCACCAGGTGACAGCAGAGAGCGAATATGAAAACAGGAAGTCACGCAAGCACACCAGGACTCATTCACCATTCTCAGGATGACATACTGTTAAAGCACCCATTCCTCATCAGCAAATACCGCCAGCCCTTTGAAAGGGGACAGAGTAGATTAGAATAGGGATGTCTTCCGAGTTGATTTAGGCCACGGGATGCATTTAAGCTAATCCGCAAATGCCTATTTCAGTCCGTACTTTGAAAAATGCTTATGCTTGTGACACTTCCAGAGTCAGGGCGGCCTGTTCCCAAGGCTGGGGTCTGCCCTGCAGAGAACTCACAGGAACAGCACACATCCACCCCCACCCCGCCCCCCAGTGCTGGGAGCCAGCCTGAGTGTGACTGCAGAGTGGCTGCGCCTTGCGTGTCCGTCCACTCCAGGACAGACGCAGGCAGTGCCAGACAGCTGGAGTGAGCCCGTGGCTGACTGACCGAGGTTCCGGGATGCTGTGGTCGACCCGCTGTGCCCCTCAGCTCACCCCACCCGAGGTCCAGCCCATCCTAGAGGCCACTGGCAAAGTGAAGGCCAGGGACAGGAATGTCTCCTGGATTTGGAAGCAGTTGCTGCATGGAACCTGTTCTTAGGCTCATTATTCCACTGACTCATTGCGTGACCTTGACACTGACCTGGGTGTGAGACTCAGTGTAAGTGCAGTCCAGGCTGACTAACTGCAAGTAGGGGAGGCGCTGTGTATAGTCGTCCTGGGCCCGGGGCTGCACTCGGCGTGCAGGGGCTGTTTGTTTGGGTTCTGTTTGCTTCTTTGTGTCTGGATTCCTTTTGACCGAACCCGAGGGAAACATAAGGATGAAGCTGCCCACTGTCCTTAAGCTGTATCTTTGTCTCTTGTCACACACCCGCCTCTGTCAGGTCCTGTCATTTTGAGTCACTGCTGGCTGTGTCCTCTGGGAGGAAGTGTAATTGAGTCTCACACGGCACGCCGAGCTGTGGGCCCTGTTTGCCTGCCAAGCTTTCCTGGCTGGCACTGCTCTTGCGCCTGCATCCCTGTCGGCTCCTCTCCAGTGTCGCTACCTTAGAGGACTGGCTTGGGGGTGTACACTGTACATTTATTCACGATTTCTGCTCCTAATCACCTATTTTTCTTGTTTCTGAGGAAAATTTAGAGGACATATTCTGAGAAATTTTAGCCTTTATATGTGACCTTCCAAAGCATGTAAGCCGATAGCAATTGGCCAGTTGGGTTTATGGAGGCTGTGTTCTGAGCTGCTGTAGCCGTAAGTATTTGTGAGAGCAGCAGTTCACAAGAGGGTCCTTGGGGTCAAAACTACTTTTCTAATAAGACATGCTCAGCCGTTTTCGCTGTTGACATTAGCACCGATGGTGCAAAAGCAGAAGTGGGTCAAACAGCTGGCACTGAGTGGGGTTCAAGGCAGCGGCACCACAGTATATGAGGGGCCAGTGCATTCTTCATTGCCACCTGCCTGCAGGGGGTGGGAAAGGCTCATTTTAAGAGTGGCCTTGATGGATAGTGGAAACTGCATGAGTTTGTCTTTTCACATCCTGTGTGATGGGCGGGCCGTGTGCGGGAAGCACTTGTGCTGGGTGCCGCAGCTGGCGCTGTCTGAGGAAGCCTGGGCAGGGGTCTGAGTGGCAGGCTGCACTGGCCACTCTCCTCTTGGGACACCTCTGGTATTTGGAAGAATGATGGCAGTCATGTTGTGGTTACCCAGACTGCGTTTTGGCAGACTTATTTTCCTTTTCCGTCAGACGGGTAATGTGCCCGTGCTGTAACAAGGTTTGAGGGAGGCACATCTCCCACGAGGATGTGAACACCCAATCGTCACCCTTAGGAACCACAAAGGATCCGACATTTTCTTGAAAATGATCAGAGTAAGCATGTCACTTCAGGAAAACAGCTACAAGTATTTGTCGCCAGTGACCTAATTCTCTCTTGAAAGCACAATTTTTAATTTAGGAAAACTTGGGTCCACCACTGCAGGCTCAACAGCTTCTGGTTCTTAAAAGACTTCTGATGGGAGCAGGGCTGATATTAACAAAAGTGACTGTAAAGAAAGTATTTATGTTAAAAGTTGCATGTTTCCAAGATGTGCCGAGCACAGTGGGGCAGTATTCTTCACCGGATCAGTGCATGTCACACAACCGCCGCGTGAACACCAGAGTCCCTTCAGAGTGCAGCATGGACCAGAGGGGTCAGTGTGACAGCGAGAAAGTTCATGGCTGCAGTCTCAGAGTCCCCTCCATCTTTCAGCACCTGCCATTTGTCAAGTTTTAGCGTAAAGACTGCTCACAGCTACCTGACAGGGCCTGCATCTCTCCTAAGGCCATACTTTCTCCATCTCCTTCAACCAAACACTCCTTCTCAGCACACTGGGAGTCCACTGTGTTCACTCAGCCAGACAGGAGAGACAGTGACAAAAGTGGGGAACAGTCCCACGCGTCTCAGGAAAATTTCCGTTATTTTTTAAGAAAAATATTATTTATGAATTTTATCACTTTTGAATGAATTATTAAAATATTAGAGGCCGGTGCACAGATTCGTGCACCGGTGGGATCCCTCGGCCTGGCCTGTGGGGATCCAGCCAAAACCGGCTCTTCAACATCCCCTAGTGGTCCCAGATTGCGAGACGGTGCAGGTCAGGCCGAGAGACCCCACTGCACCGGGCCTGTAGTAGGCATATAAGATCTTTGGTTAATCTCTTCCTGCCCTCCCCTCTCCCCGCTTCCCTCTAAGATTCATCAGTTTGTTCCATGTTTCCATGCCTGTGGTTTCCGCTCCTGGGTTGAGCGTCTGCCCCCTGGTGGTCAGTGCGC